TGGGTGTGTGGGTCTCCCTCTACGAAAGTATCCCTTCGGGGTCTTTCATCACCATATCATACTTTGTAAGTTAAGAATCTGAGGGAAAAGACTGTACTAAAGATGCATGAGGTGGTGGGAATAAGCCTTGAGCTTATGCTGAGTACAAACAAAAATTGTCCTGCTAAATTAAATGTTTTATTTCTAGGTCCCAAAAAACTTGGGTGACCAACTTTGTGTTCTAAAATCATCCTAGAAAAATGATTAAAGAGTTAACATCAAAAGTAGTACAGTTGTCATGTATAAGCTGCAAAGACAAAGTGAGGTGTACCAGGGAGATTGGAGGAAAAGTAACAGAGACAGAAGAAACCTAGCAAAAGTGGAGAGTAGGAAGATGGAAAGCAAGGTTGGAACAGGTTCAGACTTCTGCCAGACATTTGGACAGAATAGAAGTGACCATCTAGTATGATGTAGGTTATACTGAGTGTCGAGATAAGGAGGTGAGCAGAGAGCCATAGGGAAAGCATCATGAATTCCGATTTCAGTTTTAGTTGCACCACTGCTTGCCACTTGGTGATCTCAGAATACACCAAAATTCTTTGATCTTAGTATTCAGATGAAATGGTAGTGTTGAAAATAAAGCAAAGATTTCCCTCATTGGGGAGTTGCCAAGATTAAAAATATCAGAAGTAACTTAACAGTGATATTGCTTGGCATATAGAAGATTAATAAGAATGACTGTTTTCTAAGCCCTACATTTAATGATGTGCACAGGGTTCTTTATTTAATTATTGATCCAGCTTTGGATTCTTCATTTTCTAGCATATGACCTCAAGGCATGTAAATGATACTAAAACCGTTTAAAACTGAACTTGTCTTAAATGGTGTGGTGGTTTGAATGACAACTCCCCTGACCTACCACCAGGGGTGGGTGTTTGAACACTTGGTCCCTGGTTGGTGGTACTATTTGGGAGGTGATACAGCCCTGCTAGAGGAAGAATGTCACTGGGCATGGGTTTTGAAGCTCACACTCATCCTACTTCCAGGTTGCTCTTTCTGCGCCATGCTTGCCTTTGAAGGTGTGAGCTCTCAGCGTCCTGCTGCTACCACCATGCCTGCTGCTTGCTGCCATGTCTCCTCACCATAATGGACTCATGTCCCTCTCCAACCATGAACCAAAATAAACCATTTCTTCCAGAAAATGCTGTTGGTCATGGTATTTTATCACAGCTACAGAAAAGCAACTAAAACAAGTGTGATGCTGCCAAAGAATTGAAAAGACTACATACCTTGATAACTTGTACACTCTATATGCTTTTATGTCTTTATTAGAATTGTGTTAGAGCCTTGTTCTAAGCCAAGAGATAAAATAAGAAAACACATGGCATGGATCTTGCCTGCCCTCAGAACGCTTCACCTCCATTGGAGAGAAAGCATTACTCTTAATTCAGGTTAGAATACACAGGCAACACCTTTATATATTGTGAGACTAAAAGAGAAAACAGATTCTGATAAAAAGTATTTATGGGGGCCTATGTGGTGGAAGTCAGAAGTCTAAATGATAAGAAAACACAACAGGCTTATGTTTTTCTATTTATTGGGTGTCATCCTGTTTTTACTAATCTATAGTACTGAATACTCAACTCAGAATACATGGTATGTAGATGGATACTTTCCAGCCTCATAACATTGAGAGCATGTGTGTTGATCAAGGCACACATATTCTGGTTTGTCCTTGCATCTAATTGAAATAGTAAGTTGCAGGTTAGTAATGAAATATTTATGTTTATGTTAAACTAAGTTGTGCATGTGTAACATGACTTGTTGCAAGTTCCATAAAAATTGTTTCTCAGACTGGACTTTTTCTGTCATCCTCTTCTTTTCTGTCTGTCCTCTCTCTGTCTCCATGTCTCTTTACCTCTTTTCTCTTTCCTGCCCCCTCCCTCCCCTTTGTAATGAAATTTCTCACTTAAAATAATTGTTTCTCAAGATTAAAAATGTGAATCTTTTTTTGTTTTTGTTTTTGTTGTTGTTGTTGTTGTTGTTTTTCGAGACAGGGTTTCTCTGTGTAGCTTTGGAGTCTATCCTGGCACTGGCTCTGGAGACCAGGCTGGCCTCGAACTCACAGAAATCCGCCTGCCTCTGCCTCCCGATTGCTGGGATTAAAGGTGTGCACCACCAACGCCTGGCTGTGAATAATCTGTAAATATTTATTTTTATATGTATGTTTTGCTTGTAATTATGTGCACCACATGCATACAATGCCAGTGGAAGCTAGAAGAGAGTATCATGTACCTGGAACCAGAGTTACAGATGGTTGTGAGCCAAATGTGAGCACTGGAAACCAAATCCACATCCTCTGCAAAAGCAATAAGCGTTTTAACTACTGAGACATTTCTCCAGGCCTGTGAATGATTTTTCTAACAACATTTATGTTTCTAAACTAAAAATAAGTCTATATATTTGCTTACATCTCTATTTTTGAACAATATTTGTTTTCAGACAGAGTCTCATGTACCTCAGGCTGGCAGTTAATTGTCAACATAGAGAAAGATGACCTTGGGCCCTTTGCCTGATATCCCCAGAGTGGGGCTGATTACAGGTATGCACCACTATACCATTTCAAGCTTCACTGGGGATGAAACTCAGAGCTTTGTGTGCTAGGCAAGCACTCTACAAACTGAGCCACATCCCCATCCTCTTTAAATGGCCTTCTGAAAATTTTCCAACTACCCTACACTAGAAGTAATGGAATTAACATGACAATCAGGACTGCTTATAGCAGAGAGGAGAAGTGTTGACATAGTGACCATTTGCACCTTCCTGGGGTTGTCCAAAAAGCCTCCAACCAGTCACTCTGTATGGCAGTCTCTCCAGTGCCCTTGCATTCATACAAGGCTGGGGAAAAGCAGAGAGTTATTAAAACATGATGGTTTGGTGATGACAAGAAAATTAAGCAGCTGGGGCAAGATGAGCCATGGACTCCAGAGAGAATCAAACTCATGTCCACAATAGGGCTCTACTACTTTGTTGGAAAATAAACACAATTCACTAGGTAAATTTGCAGTAGCGCAGTGTTTGATAGAAGACTGGTTCACACCTGCCGAGTACTGCAAACACAGGATAATAAAGAGCTTTAATCACAAAGATTGCTGATGTCCCCACTTATTCCAGAAGCTTTAAAGAAAAGCATTTGCTTGCTGTTTCATTTGGTTTAATGAAAAAGTGAAACCCAATATATAAAGAATTATGAGTTCATTTTTTCCTTCTTTTTCTTTTTGTATAGATTTTCAGCACATAATAATTTACAATGCATTTCCTCCTAATTAAACTGGACTCAAATTTCAGCCAAAGAAAACAGATGACCCCTACTGTTTTATTTTAATAAACTGGACAAAACCCCAGCTTTCTTTCTGTTATAGATTGGGGACCAGGTCCAGAGGGTTACAAGGAGAGGCAATTGCTGTTTTTATTTCATTGGAAAGCTCTTATTTGGTGACCTTGGTCTATAATGTTTTTTATGTGTGTGCAATTTATACCTTTTCCTGAGGAGGTAAGATTGCATACTGTGGGGTTTCTCTCTGGAGACCTGTTCTCCTGGCCGGATAGGTATGACAGGTTTAGGCATTAAATAGCTTTAAGCTTGTCAAAGAAAGATTATTAAAAATGTCCCTGCCTTTCAGGCTCCAAGCTCAGTGGGAGACCAAATGCTGTCTTCTGGGGCTGTCTTTCTATTTAGTCATGTCATTTGGCTCTTTGCCTATAGCAAAAAGTGAGACACCATCTGTTATTTCTCACTAATGGCTGTCGGCTCCGAGCTTGCCTGGCTCAGTGCTCACCCGTTTCCCACCAGCGGCTGGACACAGTCTCCCTAGCAGATTCTCTGCAGAGAAGTGTGTTTTATTATTAATGGACCAGAGAGGGAGTGGTGTTTACAGACTCTAAAACACAATTTAGATTTAAGTTATTGTCACTACTGTGTGACCACTGTGCAATGCATACTATTTGTCTTGTGTGATGGTGATCACACTATTTTATATGGGAATAGC